TTATTATTCAGTAATCAATGAGAGAGATATTATATTTGTCCTGAGAGTTATTGGCTCAACACATGTTGAGTGTGGCCATAACATAAATAATATAGAATGTCTCCATCTAGTGACTGAACGGGTGCAAACACTCATTTTGAAAATGTGCCATTTGTTCATCTATCACTTGTTCTTGGAGGAAGTCCATAGTTTTTACAGTGTTTACAAATTAGATGGCGCCACAAGTGTGTATCCGTACACTCTCCGTACACACGCAGACATCCATGAACATCCAATTTGTCGTGACCACACTGATTAAGAATACCGAGTAGTATTTACGCAAGTTAAATAAGCATCTTATGAATTTTATAAGAAAAAAAGATTTAATGTAGGTGTAAATTTAAGGAATTCAAGTAGTTCAACATATAACACCTTGTTTTTACACTTCTCTCTTTGTACTGATTCAACAAACAAGATATAACGTGTTGAATTTAAGAGATACAGTTATATTTTGTTACCTTTCGGACACCCTGGTTAGTCTTATGCTGGTTGTGTCGGCGTAATTATCCCAAAGCGTGGGGTATCAATTGTGTTTTTACTCGCCAAAAAAGTCAAGCATTTCCCCACAAGAAAAGCGTGATTGCATTTTTAAAACTAAATCTGTACGTTTTGGCCCATTAGGCCTAACTATACTTTCCTGATCCCTCAAAGGAAGAAAACCAAGCCTCTTAGTGAGAAGTTAATTACTAAATCTCACTCAAGTGATAGAAAATGTCAGTTGTTAGGAGACCCTTTCTGAGCAGCTCGTTTTGCAGAATTTTGTGCACTGTCCATGTCACTGTGACCCCTGTGGAAGTTGTCTGTCATCAATTCTCACATCTGCAAAGCCTGAAGGACAAAAATAGGTCGGAAAACATTCAACAGCAGGTCACTCTTAATTACACTGGAACGGGTAATTTACTTACCAGTTTACATTTCACACTCCGGTCCATCATCTGTGTCTTCCCTTCCTGCAGAATGAGCGGCAAAGGAAGATAACACGCGTCCTCTGTGGACTGAATATTAAGCAGTTTATTGGAGTCAAATATGGAATCGCCTTCGGGGACATTCCCAGTCAGTGTTAGAAATTATTGCAATTCATTCCAGAATCATTTGAATTTAATCCTTTTATTTTGTGACAATTTTGTTAGTTTAGGCTTAGTGATGACTTTGTCTAATAGTTTCTAGGCATATATTGAACGCTTAAGCAAGCATACATCTCACAAAGAAGGTTTATATGCACAAAGGATTGGTTGTGAATAGATACATTTTCCAAGTGTGGGCAGTGACAGAAGAAAATTGTTCATGACTCTTTTAATGAGAAGATGAGAGAGAAAAAATGGCTAAAACTTGGACATTAGAGGCAAGTTCATGCTCATTTTTTTTATTAGAATGTTGTCTTACTCTGACTAAAAACACAGCATAGTTCAAAAGGTGACATGAATTAACTTTCAAAGCACTAATTAATTAAATGTTTATGAGTCTTTGAATAAGGAAAGTTTGGGGTCGGTAATAACCTCACAATTTAATCGCTATGGAAACCGTACAGATTAGCTATTAAAGTGTATTCATTTTGTACCTCGCAGCCACTTCTCAAAGTGAAATAGCTCCAACTTACTGATATGACATTAACATGTAGAGCAGAATGTTGATGGACTGATCCCCCCTGACAGTTTTCAGCGAGCCGGGAACCAGGACTTTGAAAACAAAGCAGCTGAGAGTTCAGACGTCATTCAAGTTTTTACACCTTGGTTTTCCAGTGTCACAACCTCTCATATCTCATTTTGACCCTTTTGGTTTATTCTGTAGCACCACCAGCAGGGCTCGCCATTAAACACAATTTTATTTCCTTTTTCCAGACAATGCCAACCTTTTTGAAACAAGCACATAGTACAAAAATCCATTGATGTTTCTCTTTATATAGTGACAACTTAGGCTCCCGTGTGAATATGGAAGCCCATTTCTGCAATCTATTGAACACTTTCTTCAAAAAATAACTTGTACCTCCAAAGTATGGTACAAAAATATTATTCCTAGCAATGTTTTAGCCGCTGGCTGATACTGTTGAGCTTCTCTTGACCTTGAAATCAGTGGAGCAATGAAAGCATTGACATTTAAGGGAACCTTCAGGGTTTTTTCAGACATTACTTCGTGCTCCCTAAGTCTTCTCAATGTTATGTAATCCAATGGGAGTGTTTGATGCAATAGAGGGTGTTTATCGTCGATTTTTGAAATCAGAAATATTTTAATGTAATTTTTCTCATTTATATATTGCAAGTATTTGCATGAATGCTGTTTTGGGCTGAGAGTTTTAGATGTTGCGTTCAGGTACATATTCCAAGCGTATATTTTGTGTGTTTTGTTGCTGTTATTGTTTTTTAATACTTATTTGTATTGTACTAATAGTAGGGGTAATAGTTTCGTGTTGGTAAGTGTGCTTTTATTGATCATTATTGAGATGTAAAAGAATGAGTAGGCATCAATAATAAAAAATAGACTTACTTGACACTTGAACAAATAGTAAAGCTACGATACACCACAATGTATGATCACACACAATCCTCAATATAACCTTGCACACAGCATTTATTTTACAAGGTTACGAGGTTTGTTATACCGTCCCATGACCAAGGATGGTCATAGAATTGTATGCGTGATAAGTGTGATAATTCCGACAGCACGTGAAGGCAACATTTATTACAGTTGACGGTATCATGGCGCAGGGAGGCCGAAGAGCTGCACGGCATCAGACAGCTCGATTAATACGCTGTTAAATCTTAATAATCCCCCAAACTATTAACACCAAAGGAAGAGAGATAGCGGTGAGTTGGCTGAAACTGAGTTGGTATCTTCATTTACCTCCGTTTTTGGTTCCAAACGGAGGATAGATTGACAACAGCGGTGCGTGAACTTATGTCCGAGAGAAAAAACAACGCCACGAGACCGTTGTAAACATCACTTTTATATTGGTGTCTCGCAGTTATATTATAATTATTGGTAACGTTCTATAGACACAAATTCCATAAACGTGGAGCACGCAATGTTACACGGATGTTATTCTTTTGATTTTGTCTATATGTTATGCGAAAAGTTAATCAGCAATTAGCTAGACCAAGTTGCTAAACAATGTTCCTTGCGAGTCTTAAGAAGTAACGGTTAGCACTTCGTGTGTGTCTGTGTGTGTCTGTCTGTGTGTGTCTGTGTGTGCGTGTGGCTTCAGGCATTATGTATCTTGACTTATGGACCAGAATTTGCTAAATGACTTCATTTGAATATTATCAGGGGCTTTGAGAAGTGAGGCCTCACTGTAACAAGTGGTGGTTTTATTTATACTTCTACTTCCCTACAGTTTGTCCTACTTTATGCGCCACTGCATTTGTTCATTTTTAGTTCATTTTTTTTATAGATTTTTTATAGACAAACCTAAGAAACACACACCCAGCAGTATACCTGGTAATTAAAAAACCAGCTCCACCTTCAGCTGCAACCTGAAGTGTTGTTTAGGCCAACGCACAAATGAACCAATGGTAATTAAACAGCAATGCATGTAATCCTGATGTGGCCCATTTGTGAGTCGGCACGTATAAGCCTTGTTTCAGGAGTTAGAGGAATGTAGGAGGAGTTGAAGGAGCACATTTGCTTGGTATTTGAAATGATTCCTTGTGGTTTTCTAATATAAAAACAGACCTTCTGGGTGGCTCTAAAATTCCCCTTGCCCTGCTGTACTAATACAAAATGAAAAAATAATGTTCTGCTTTGCTTCACTTCTCGTCGTGAAAATGTTTAGTCAAGTCAAAATTTCACCAAATCACAAATCCGGGGGGGAAAACCAGCCACATCATGCAAATGCGTTCCATGCCGGGGTAGTTTTCTGTGGGAATTTGCTCCAGCAGTGAGATCAGCTGTGAGCCCACTGGGTGCTGTGACCGTGAGCACCACGGGCAGGACAGATCCTTCTAGAAAATGTCCCTCTTTTTATATTCTCTGACATGTGCAACACAAGCGGCCTGATACGTGCAGCCCGAGATAGTGAATGTGAACCGCCGAGGGGATTCGGCCAATCGGAGAGCTGTTTTCCAGGTTAGGATCATTTACTGAGATAACAAAAAATAATAACGTAAAAGATTGTGCGTTAAAGTTGTCCGTACGCGCACACTGTTGTAGCACGTAATGAAAGCGATGCTGATCCTTCACACTCGTCCCTGTGTCACTCAGAGTCTTCACATCTATTATTGGCCTCCCCCTCACCTTTTGTTCTCCGCCTTCATTTGACAGTATACATTTCTTTTGCCTATTCTCGGATCTGGTTGGTAAACACGGCGATCATAAATTGCCTCCTGACCCGACGAGTTGCGGCTCTGCGCTTCGTGATTATGTGTTTTGCGAAAGATGAAAAAACAGGTCAAACATAGAGACAAAAAAAAAATAAACAATACAGAAAACAATGACTTTTTTAATGTTTGTAAGAGAGGACAGTGGGAGAAATATACGCAGCCGAATAAAAAGGAAGCTCACAATGTCCATGTAAGGAAATGCCATTATAAACACAATTCCTTCCACAGAGGTTAGGGGTGTTTTAGGTGCAGGTTCTGTGTTGAGAGGTCCTGTGTGCCCTTCGGTGGGAGGAGGGGGGGCACTTTGATCCCTCACACACTTAACGCACAGTATGTGCACCGATGCATTGTTGATCCCCCGTGTGGAATGTGTGTTCATTCCGTTTTGGCCTGAGGACCTTGGGGGGGGGGCTTCATTACAACCTTTAAACAAATCTATGTAAGGAGACACTTAAGTATTTTGAGACGCAAAGGTTGTTTCAAAATATTGACCATAACCCTAGCGAGGCCTTCAACCTGTTCTCACCTCAGCCTTACTAGCCAGTTTTTTTGGCATTGAAAACTAAATACAGCTGGTAAATGTACAGCCTTCACTCTCATGGCCGCTACAGTTTGATAGGAAGTACGCTCGTTCCCGTCGGTCAGCGGCGGTCGGGGGAGCAGGTCTGCGCTCCCGCTGTGGAGACTTTGGAAACCCGGCTGGAGAAAGCTGTGTGCCGGGCGGGGAGGCCTCGGGCTCAGTGGTGGGCTCCTCTCTCAAAGACCACTTACTTATCGCTGACCGACCACAGAGACATACCAGTGGGGGTGCTCATAGTCTGCCCACGGCCTGTTAGGTGTTCTCCCCCCCTGGACGCACACCCCCTCCCGCCCTTGCCTGGAAATGGACACTGCTGGTGTATTTATAGCCCTGGAGCACAAGCGAGCTCTGTATCTTATCGAGAGAGAGAGCCGTGCTGAGCTTTGCTGTCGGGTTTTGTAACTGAAGCGTGCTTAGAGGGGCTCATCAGGTAGAGAGAATGGCTTAAGAATGCATTTATTTAAATGAACTTACGAAACTTAGTTGTGTAGTTTCTGAAGTAACCAACTCCTTATTAGTGTAGTTAACTGCATTTGTAGTAAACTGCAACGTTTCATGTGGCAGGTGACATCATGCATCCGCTTTGCAATTGTTTTTTAAAATTTGAAACCTTTTTTAAATGTTTGAAAGTCATCTTTAACCATCACAAGACATTATAATCCTATTGTTCCAGGTCCTTTTCTTGGTCTCAAGTGATTGTAAACTGAATATCTTTTGAATTTTAAAATGTTGCTTTTTAAAGCAATTTTAACCTTTAACTTATGTAATAGCTATTTTTTTTTACATTTGACGCACAATATTGTAACTTAGTGGCAGTGCGACATGGTGTTCAACCCACTGTTGAGATGTAACGTGTGATGGGTTGACACTTTCTCCGTCTGTTTCAGACAAAAGAAATCCTTCTGACCGCAACCCGACCAGAGGCGAGATGGAAATGCCAGCCCTGCAGACGCAACCATCCACCCTTCCTTTCTTCGACACGGCCCACGCCTTCAACCTCCTGCGGGGGATCCACGAGCTGCGGGCCGAACGCAAGTTCTTTGACGTGACTCTGTCCGCCGAGGGCCGCGAGTTCCACTGCCACCGCACGGTGCTGGCCGCCGCCAGCACCTACTTTCGAGCTATGTTCGCCGGAACTCTAAAGGAGAGCGCCATGGACCGGGTGGTCCTGCACGAGGTGTCGGCTGAGCTCCTGGGTCTGCTGGTGGACTTCTGCTACACCGGGAGGGTCACCGTCACGCAGGACAACGTCGACGTCCTGCTGAAGACGGCCGACCTCTTCCAGTTCCCCTCGGTCAAGGAGGCCTGCTGCGCTTTCCTCGAGCAGCGGCTGGACGTCTCCAACTGCTTGGAGATCCAGGACTTCGCCGAGGCCTACGCCTGCCGCGAGCTGGCCACGAGCGCCCGCCGCTTCGTCCTCAAGAACATAATGGAGCTGGCCAAAGCGACCGACTTTGCGCGTCTGCCGTGGAAGCGCCTCCTCGAGTACGTGTCGGACGACGAGCTGTGCGTCGACAAGGAGGAGGCCGCCTATCAAATCGCGTTGCGCTGGGTGAAGGCGGACCTCCAGCGGAGGCTGCACTACTGGCCCGAGCTGCTCCAGCAGGTCCGCCTCCCCTTCGTCAGGAGGTTCTTCCTGCTGGCCCACGTGGAGAGCGACCCGCTCGTCTACCTGTCGCCCACCTGCCTCCGCATGGTGAACGAGGCGCGCAGCTTCCAGTCGTGCGAGTACGACCGCCACGACCGGCCCTGCCACCGAATGCGGCCGCGGCCGTCCACGGGGCTGGCGGAAATCCTGGTGGTGGTGGGGGGCTGCGACCAGGACTGCGACGAGCTGGTCACAGTGGACTGCTACAACCCGCAGACCGGACAGTGGCGCTACCTGGCCGAGTTTCCCGACCACCTGGGGGGAGGCTACAGCATCGCTGCCCTGGGAAACGACATGTACGTCACAGGTAAGACGCTCTGACGGAGGAAATGTGCACGTGTGAGTGTTGCACGGAGGGCGATGGACTCCATCTGGCATGGAGAGGTCACAGACAGCCACACACAGTGTGCAGGCGTTAAGGTCGCTGCGTATACCAGATTCACTGCAGTGTGAACGCTCCACTCGGTAGATTTCCATTCCTGCTCCTCCACCATATGAAATGGCCGTCAGGTCGTGTTTATATAAACAAATCACAGGCTCTTTGGTTGGTGTCCCTGTGAGACCACGGCCGACTGAGGCAGGACAGGTTGTGCCGCCTGCGCAAGAACTAATTAAGCAGCGTTGGCTCAATAATTACATGTCAGCAATAACTATGAAATGAAACGACAACAACAGCAACAGCATATGATTCCATAATGTCGATGGGTAGATTTGGTTTTTATAATCTAAAATTTGAAGTATTGAGGATATACTTAAAAAAAAACTATTATTTTACTTTTGTTGCTCAGTGGTTGACACAATTTCATTTTCATTGTACCTTAAGTGAAGCCTATATTCTTCAGAGACATGATTCGCGGTACCACGCAGCATTACATAATGAAAGCGAGGTGTAAGGCAAGCGCCGATCAATTAATTAATTAATTAAGCCATCTCGTTGTGCAATCAATAATGAATCTTTGATTTTCTACAGCATTGCTGTGCATCTACTGTATTACTGCAGTAGGTCATTCTTTGCAGTTTTAGTGCACCTTCCGAGTCCTTGATGCATATTAACGATCGAGACAACACGCCTGTGTCTTCCAGGTGGCTCCGACGGCTCCCGCCTCTACGACGGCGTGTGGCGCTACAAGTCCAGCGTCAACGAGTGGACGGAGGCGTCGCCCATGCTGAAGGCCCGCGAGTACCACAGCTCGTGCGTGCTGAAAGGTCAGCTGTACGTGGTGGCGTCGGACAGCACCGAGCGCTACGACCACGCCGTGGACTGCTGGGAGGCCCTGCCGCCCATGCTGCACGCAATGGACAACTGCTCCACCACCACGTGCAGCGGACGCCTGTACGCCATCGGCTCCCTGACCGCCGAGGAGACCATGGCCATCCAGAGCTACGATCCCGACACCAACCGCTGGGCCATGGTCAGCTGCGGACAGCTGCCGCCGTGGTCCTTCACGCCGAAAACCGTCACCCTCAAAAGCCTCATCTACTTCATCAGGTGAGGAGAAGAAGGGGACAAACGTTCCACATTTAAGATAAATCATCATTTAGTGTGTGCGTGGGAGAAGAATTGGCTTGGTCTCTTTTTGAAACAGTTATTAAGTGACTGAGATAATTTACTACAGCACTAAAATGTTACTTACTATATTTCTAGTCCACTACATTTCAGAGAGAAATATTGTTAAGATATTGAGAAATAATTTACTTATCTGATTAAGATATAAAATAAAGCACTTATAAAGTATTACACACTAGCAAGGTGTTTCCAAACCTTTTACAAAATTAATCAGTGAGCAATCAATGCATTAGCATTGATGATTTTATTCATAGTAATAAATCCGCATCTGGCTAACACTGCATTACTATTTCATCTAGTAAACACTGTTGTTGTACCACCTGAGTCTCCTTTTTGGGATATGAGTCACTATTCAGAAGTCCAGAAATAGATATTAGTTCTTGATACGTTGTTGTTTCAACCGTCAGTGAGGTTTGCACAAACACATGTGAAGGAATGATTGATTCAGCAGCAGCAGCTTGACTTTGCTGTGCTTCTATTCGTAGGGATGACTCAGCCGAGGTCGATGTTTATAATCCTCAAAAGAACGAGTGGGACAAAATTAGTCCGATGACCCAGGTTTGTATTTCACATCTGACACTTGTCTCTGAGCATGCTTTTATTAGCCAGCTGTTAGCATCTCTAATAGTTCTGACCTGGGATTAGACGTGTCAACGATGATCCATTAAATATAAAGATGACAACTGCTGCAGTCTGTCACCCATTTATTGAACTGACCACAGCAAAGGAAATAAATGAATTCATGTGGCCTTTTTAATGACTTCACTGATTTCTGCCTCCAATTCCATGATTTGATTTAATATTTTATTTCATCTTAATTAGTTCCTCTCTATTGTCTTTTTTAAAATCATAACCTTTCCTTTGTTTTTGTTACACAATCATCGATTTAGCTGCACGAGTTGTTTAATTCCATTGACATCTCACTCTGTTCCTCCAGGTGCACGTTGGCGGCAGTGTGGCCGCCCTGGGCGGTAAATTATACGTGTCCGGCGGTTATGACAACACCTTCGAGCTGTCCGACGTGGTGGAAGCGTTCGATCCGACCACGCGCTCGTGGACTCTCGCCGGACGGCTTCCTCAGCCGACTTTCTGGCACGGCAGCGTCAGCATATTCCGCCAGTTCATGCCCCAGGTGTCCAGCGCTTTTGAACCTACGGAGATACCCGAGTCCAACGCCATCCACTTGCATCGGCACCATCGGCACCAGGCGCTCCAAAACCTCAACAACAATCTCAACCAGAACCAGGATGTGAACCCAGCGCGCTGAGTTCGGTCCTAGGAGCCCTTGTTACACGTTCGTGTCGGGGGTTTCGGTGCTGCTCAATCAGAACCAGTTTGTGGGATGTGCTCTTTGACCGCGGTGGAAATCAGGTGTTTTCACACTGAAAAGCTCGCCATCAAAAGGGGGCGGGGGTTATTATTCAGTTAAGGAGGGCGTTCGTAGTGTTGCACTTTTCTGTTTGCGTGAAAACTGACATTTGTTTAAATATTCAAAAAGGACAAAAATAAAAAAGTCTGAATGTTGGATAGTCGGTTTTCAGAGGTGTCAAGTAGCGAAGTACAAATACCTTACTTAAGTAGATATTTTGGGTATCTATACTTCAGATGACTTTTTACTTCTACTCCTTACACTTTCAGGCAAATATCTGTACTTTCTACTCCTTACATTTTAGAAATAGCCCCGTTACTCCTATTTCATTTTGACTTGTTTTCATTCCGGCTTGTCGTCGTTCAAAAACACACACACACTAAAAAAAGCTATCTAGATAAATCGCACCATCCGGATAGAGTGAATTAGTTTGTGGTTGGATGAGAAGTATAAATATATACAATTCAGACAGTCTATTGTTCTCCGCGATGCACCTGCAGTTCAGTGTTTCCCACCATTATAACAGGGGTTATTCTTTTTTTACATTACTTTTATACTTTAGTTTTGAAACCAGTACTTTTATACTTTTACTTCAAGTCAAACGCTTGAGTTGATACTTCAACTTCTGCAGAAGTCTTTTTAAACCCTAGTATCTATACTTCTACTTGAGTAACGAATGTCAATGCTTTTGACACCTGTGTCGACTTAGTGAATTTTATAATATATATATATTTATATGAGTGGTGGGTTGCATATTGGCAGCTTCCTCCTGAATGTCTTTTTGCCTTGTAAAACCAAAATAGACTCTCCAACAACACTTTGCTTTCCGTGTAAATGCACCTTTAATGTCTTCTGTCCGCTCGTTTTTTTCCTCATTTTACCTCATTTCGGTGCATCAAGCTTTGATGAGCTTTTAACTGAAGGAGAGCAAAAAAAGGAATAAAAACTCCGCCTACCAGCAGCCAGTCGATTCCACAGTTCTAAACTTGGAAAAGCTGAGCTTTTTGGTGTTAGAAGAGAAACGCTCCATGCATGAAGTGTCACCGGTAAACTTCCTCCTTTAAAGAAGAGCAGCACACAGCAGCTTCCAGTCCCCGGCAGGCCGAAGCGTCTGTGTGCTGTAGTCATTTCTCAGAAAGAGTGATAACCTGTTTACATTCCAAAAAAGCAGTGGTAATCACAACTGATATCCAGCTCTAAAAAGAAGTGCTGTACGGGACAGTTTGAAGGCTCAGTTTCCTTCAACTGCCGAGTCCAAAGTTTATTGCAACTCAATCAATATTAGTCTGCATTTATCCTTTTCATTTCCACCGTCTGCAAAGACGCCTGCACCTTTGTGAGCGCGCTGGTAAAGCAGCAATCCAACGGCACCGTCAACTACGTGCATTCAAGATATATTGTGTAATGACATCGTAAAACATGACATATTTGCATGAAGAACTTTGTTTTTACGGACATCTTAACGTCTTGTATTTTTATTTAAGAATATATTTGTGTTGTGATTGCTTAAGATGTCCCCGCCTTTCAGTTGCAGTCAGAAAAGTAACACCTCGTTCATAAATGTGGGCGACGGGTCGCCAGTAACTGGAAGTGCTAAAGAATCTCAATTTTAGCTTTAACGTTTATTAATAGTCATAGTTTTCGTACAAATTTGTGACGTTACAACATTTTGTCACGTCACTTCCTGTTTGTTTTCTTTTAAATGTTTACAATGTGGTTACCATTTGCAGGTTACTGAAGAATTGTCTTAAAAATTGATAGTGGTTGCAGCGGAGTGTGAAAATATTTTCATAAATAGCAAAAACGTGTACACATTTGTTTGTGTTTATATTTGAACAAATAAAATCATAACTTGTGTTATTCCAATTGAGACTTTGATGTCCTTGAGCTGCGTCGAGGATAGTTTAATAATATTATTTACTTTCCTAGAGTAGAGCAGCAGAAGCCATATTGATTAAATGGGGGCTTAATCAAACAAACCATAACAGACGGTTTCCCATTTAAACATCCTTCACACGCATGCAGTCCATTTACAGTTAACTACAAGCATGAGGATCATGACAGTAGCCCAACGTCACCATCACATTTTAGGTGCTCCTCATTGAGGACGTGGTCCTCACAGTAGCTTCCACTCCTGAGTGGTTTCCACACGCTCAGGACGTCTGAGTCTCCTCTGGCCTACTCTCCACCATCTCCTCCAGACCCGCGGTGGACTCGTACGCCTCGGTGTCCTCATGCGTCCGCTGCAGGACTTCTGCTCCAGAGAAAGTCTCCGCAGCCTCGACGCGTCCCAGGCTCTGGTCGGAGACCGCCGCCGCCGCCTCCTCCTCTGTGACGGCGGCGCTAGACTCCATCATCTCCCTCGCTGCGTCGCCGGAGTCGGGCCCTGCGTTCGTGGGTTCCCGTTGGTCGGTGGCCGACGCCTCTTGCGCTTCGTTCTCGCCGGCCGTTTCCTTCACGATGACGTTCCTCAGCTTTCTCTGCCGCGGGTTGTAGTTCTCCGTGCGTTTGTGGATTTGAATGTGTCGTCGTAAGTGGGCCTGGAACACGAAACGGGTATATGAGGGCAGAATGGCTCAGTGAATTAAATAAGTCAATGAACAGACAATGAGAATCACATATTATTGTTTGTCATTATTTAAGACATTTCTATGTACATTTGGGTTGAAGGTTTTGTTAAGAAAAAAGGCTAAATTAATTATTGATCTGTTGCAACATGGAAGACAAAATATTGAACTAAATAAATGCATTTCAAGGGAATATCTGCTAAGCTCAGCCTACATTTATGAGACCGCAGTTCTTTTATCTGGATATACAGTATATTACATATATTTTTCACCAAAATGCACCAGAAATGTAAATGTTTCACCCCCTCAAATCCAGATATTATATTTACTTAATTTTCTGCAGTAGTAAAACTTAATGCGTTTGAGAATATTCAGCTTTGATAACCACCTGGCAAAAACAACTATTCTGCAGTTTCAGCCGCATTCCCGGATTTAATTTCGCACAAAGGCTACAATCCCTGCCCACAGAAAAGCGATATTAAAAAGGAGTATAGTGCGAACAGTGGCTGTGCCAGCAAAGCTCAGCAACCACTAAAGGCAGGCGCCCAATTCTGAGTCGAGGATCATTGTTTTGAGTCCCATACGGGATGAAGCGGAATGAGAGCAACCAAAAAGTGTGAATGATTGCTTCGCAGTGAGCCCACCTGTCGAGTAAACTTGTAGCCGCAGTCGATGCACTCAAACTTCCTCATGCCCTTGTGGCGACGCAGGTGGACGCGGAGTTGCTCCCTCGCTGATGAGGCCGCGGGAAGAATCACATCAGCAGGTTTGCGTAAAATCCACATGCCATCGCTAAATGTGTACAGCGTTCTGATTACACGTCCCAGACGTCTTACCTTTGAAGGTCTTGCAACAAATGTGACAGCAGTGGGGGCGGCCCTCCTCGTGTTTGCTGGCCTTGTGGCGGATGAGGGCGCCTTTCTCCGTGAAGCGCTGCTCACAAACATCACAGCTGAAGGGGCGCTCGCCGGTGTGTGTCCGGTGGTGTTTGTCTAGACTGGCTGGTATTAAGAAGAGGACGATCAATCAAAAGCAGTCATTATTAGTGGATTATTACGATACCATTTTTTGGGGATAATCATCACATAATGCGATCTAATCCGTTTAACACAGTTGAGTTGACAATGAGGACGGCTGGTACCTTGCGTCCTGAAGGTTTTGCCACACATGTGACACTGGTAGGGCTTCTCGCCACTGTGGATACGCAAATGCATGTTGAGGTTGTTCTTCTGGGAGAACGCATGGTCACATACGTTGCATACAAAAGGACGCTCATTTCTGTAGAGCACAAAAAAAAAAAAAAAAAAAAGACTCAAACAATCTGCACAAATGCTATCAGTTGTAAACAGATGAACATGTGGTATAGAGATGTTTTATGTCCCTCCCCAAAAGAACCCGCTGTGCTACCTGTGGATGGCTTTAATGTGCATCTTCAGGCCGTTTCGACTTGATGCTCGATGGCCACACTCCTCGCACACAAATGGCTTCTCGCCTCGATGTTTGGCTGCTTCGTGCACGCGCTGCTCTGTCCGGGTTAAGAAGGTTTTGGGGCACTGGGGACACTAAAAAGCATTGAAAACATTGTTTTAACAGAATGAAACATGAAATGAAATAGCTTGGATGCAAAGGGGAAAAATGATGAAACTGCCAGCTTTGCAAATCAAAGAATAAAATCACTATTTACTGTAGGTACATTGCCAGTAAGTAATGATCGAATAAACAGTTGAGAAAACTTACTGCATGGGGTTTGGGATAGCCATGGACCTTCATCATGTGACTTGTCAAGTTCTTCTTGTGCATAAACTGTTCAGGACATATTGAACACTGAAAGAAAATGATCCATCTTTTTAAGAACTCATTGTAGATGTGATTGTAATTGTGCCGTGTAAATGTTGTGTGTTCGTTGTGTGTTCCCTACCTTGTGCGGCATATCTCCTGTGTGAGACACGACGTGCAGACGGAGCTCTTCTTTCCCATCGAACGTTGAGGAGCATGTGACGCAGGTGTACGTCTGGAATTTAAACACAGCGCTAAAACTTGAGTTCGGAAAAACCTTTGATGATCTTACCTGATATCGGAAACACTCACCTGTACTTTAGCACAGTCTCTGGTCTCGTGCAGCAAAAGATTCTCCTTCCTGAAGTACCTCTTTCCACACTTAGGGCAGCCAAAGGGCCTCTCCCCAGTATGCCGCCTGCGGAGGGAGACGCATTGGTGGCTATTCTTTCAACAATTTTTTAAAGGGGAAAATACCATATACAAGTTGTATACCTGTTGTGGACCTTGAGATAGTATTTGCTCTTGAAGGATTTGTCGCAGATGGGACACTGCACAGAGTCCTTCTTGGAGTCCTCCTCCAAAGTGGAAGAGGACGCCAAGTGGTCTGTTCTACTCTGGACTTTGCACTTCCGTGCCGCCGACGTTGACGGCACTGAGGAAACGGGCTCCTCAACGGGCACGTACTCCTCGTCTGTGTCTTCAGTGATCCCCTCCACCACGTCGTCCTCTTCTTCTTCTTCTTCTTCACCTCCCTCCAGCACCGGGCTGACGGCGTTATCATTCACGTCAATCTGCAAGTCATTTATCTGCGAATGGCGCAATACAAGTGTCATAATAATATACACCATATTTATCTCTAAAAAAAAAAAACATGTTGCAGATATCCACTCATATTAACACTAATCTCTTTTTACCTCAGTTTCACCATTTGGCTGATCTGGGACCTCAACACCATCATCACGCTCATTCTTCATGGCAGCAGGATGAGCCTTCTTGCAGATCTTTGCAGGGGCTGTAAAATCCTCGGTGGGGCCGTCGACAGTCACCAGTCGCCTGGGGCCCTTCACCACACGACCAAAGCGTGTGGTGGTGGTGGGGGTGGTGGCGTCCATGCTACAGTTGCCTGTGGCAACATTAAAGCGGGACTCATCTTTCGTGACAGCCGGCGAGTTCTCTTCTTTGGCTGAACCATGAGGGGTCGGTTCTGATGTGGACTTTCTAGGCCTGCCCCTTTTGCGCCTCAAAAGCACGGGAGCCGCGGATTTTTCCTTGAACTGCTTGCAGAGTGCGAGTGCTTCTGGCACACACAGGCTGACCGCTGCGTCCTGCACCTTCTCGAGGTTGTCAGGGTCCAACTTGAGCTCTCCGGTGTAGACAAAGTTCAGGAGCAGCTCCAGGCCGTCGTTGGGACATTCCTCCAGGACGAACTCCCCGCACGGCGGAGTGGGCACGTTGGACTGTTGGAACAGTTCACTGAAACAGGCGAGGATGTTGCGATGTGCCAAGTGGACTGCCCCATCTCCTACATGCAACGCTGCATCACAAAACCTCCCTACTGCCCTCTGCTGGTTTAGGGAGGACAGGACCTGCAGCGCATGGTGGCTCTCTGCTGAAGGCATCTTTCTGGTTTCACTGCAGTCTGCTGCTGCCGAATGTGACACAGGTACATTATACTCCATCGATACAAAGACACTTTACTTCCTATTTGTAACCAATACACAATTCATAGTGACCGTTTAAATCAGGACTGCAACCAGCAACTCATTTAAAAAAAATCTATTTAAAACAGCAAAAATTCCTAATTTGTATATTTTCTTAGAGTTGATGGACTAAGCTATTAATCAAATTATTCAATTATTATCAACAAAACTAACAGTCAACCAATATTTCAATCATAGATTTATTGTTAGTTAATATTTGTCTTATTAGAGAAACAACTGAATGAGTTTTAGACCGATGGTTGGATAAAAAAGGAAAAACAACCACTGATTGAAACCCTCGATCCCCCCTGCATTTTTTACATAAGCCATATATCAAATAATATAAGAAATTTCAGATTAGCTGTTGCAAAACCAAGAAGGAGAGATGACAAATATTTAGTGCAAATATAGAATACAACATATCAAATATCAACAAGGTGCAAATCCCAAATAAACACAATGGCAACAATATGTATCAAGTTCATTTTAAGGGCATGACAATGTATGACAATTCTAATAATTCCACATCCCTGATGCAGCAAATATGTGTACTTGTATTGACAATTACTGAAATTAAATAAAGTTAAATTTCCTTGTTTAATAAGTTAAGCTAACTAGATAGATAGATAGAAAAGTGTGTGTAGCAGCAGCAGGTATGGTAACATTGTAAACATAAAAGTATTCTGTGTGGAATAAAATGCTATATACATACACATAATACAATAAAATAAAAGCATAACATATACAATTACATTTAAGAATTAAAATGTGTATATATTGTGTGTGAGAATATATAGTATAATACATGAAGTGAAATACAGAGTCTGTACAGTGGAGTGGGATATGTATAAAATTATATTAAAGTCTGCAGTGGTTGTATATATATATATATTATATGCTTTCGAATATAATATATTGATTATATATATTATGGACTTCTATTTTCCGAGACTGCTCGATCTTGTGACGTTGATATTGATTAAAATGAAACTATTGCATATCCCTACCAACCTAAGGTACCCACCTCAACGTTTATTTCCTTGCACACATTTAAAGACGATCCCTTAGCGAGGTACTCACCCGACAGCTGCATTCGGTGACTCACATCTGCAAGATCGATAAAAACGGATTATTCATCTCTAATATTGTTAAGCTGCACCTGCTTCAGTATTGTATATAGGTAAAAACAAATACGTAGCAAAGCCGCCACATGCTTCGTTTTCGTTTCTTGTAGGCCCCTTAAATCTCTAAAAGGAAGAGGATGTGACGCTATTTATGCGACAGAAACCCAGGGAACATTTTTTGTTGTCCATTGTTAATCATACACATGCCTGCCGGGCCGGTATTAGTAAAACAGCTATATCTTTGATAATTATTTGTAGCCACATTTTTATGATTAATCATTATCTATCGGTCAATAGGCTAAATACAGTGTAATAGTTTTGCATGATATCATAATCGTAAATAATAAAACTCCGGGTTAAGCCATAGTCGGCCATCTAGACGCGGCGTCTGTTAGCAGCATACACATGTAAGCTAACCTGTTAGCACCGTATCAGTAACAGTTGGTCGTCTTTTTAGTTTTACTTTAACCAATTATAAACGCTGGCTATTTAATACGAACATTAGGAATCATCTAAATTTTGCATTGTTTTTCTCCCAAGTCGGGTAGGGTTTCTTCATCTGAATGCAATGATACTAACGTTAGCTAACAGTTAAAATAGCTGTCAGGTAACTTAACGGCAGGTTCCAAATGAATTGTTATCTTACAGTTTGTTCCTCTTTACGGTGTAACCCGTGTATGTACCTGTAGCTGACATGTTGACAATGTAACGTATATTGTAATGAGTAGCGTTAAACTTAATATTAACTCCTTTTACGTTTTAGCGTCGTTACCTTAGCTTCCAACTGCTTTAATATTGCTACAAACATAGCTCGCTGAGGCTAACATGCCTTTATTATGGATAATGTTATTGCCAGATGGGAAAATAAGCTGTCGTTACTAAGAGCACAGTATTTTATTATCAAGCTATTTGATTTGCATGTATTGGTATTATTAAGTTAACTGTCTTACAGACTACTTCTTCTACCGCACGTCATCGATAACTTATTTAATACATTTTAATTAATTGCCATTATAACGTCACAGTGACCCCTTTCATTTCATTGCCGTTCTCTTTGCAGGTTCTCCCATTCATTAGCACCTGCATGAATAATTGTGTACTACAGGATCATGAAGGTGAAGAAACCCAAACAGGTCAAAGGCCCCGCTAAATCCCTTAAGTGGAAGGACGTGAGGGGCAAAAGGTGTCGTCCTCCCGTTAGTTCCTCGGAGCTCAACTCCAGTCCGGTAATGGCCCGAATGGCGAAGGAGCACCATGCGTCTGTTAAGAAAAAGCCCACCGTCAAGAGGTTGAGGAATAAGGCAAAGCCCGTCTCTGAGGTGAAGAATAACACCCCTGAGACTGGAGTAGAGAAATCTCACACGCAGGCTAACGGAAGTTCAGCTTCTATGGAGTTTGCTATGGACAACGAGTCAAATGACTCGCGGGACTGGAAGGAGTATTCTGAGTCTATTCAGGGGAATGGGGTGGAGACCTCGGGTGACCTGGACGCTGTAAGTCGACTGGAGGGAGAGTCTCTCCATTACTGTGCAGAGAGAGATGATCAACAAAACCACGCAGTACTTGTCATGCAGAAGCATCAGGTATGCTTAAGGATACTTCCATAAAGGTCAGGCAACAATTAGGACGTATGTTTTATCCATTGATTTGACCGAGCATTACATCTACTGTCCTGCAGACCCTGTGTTTCCGTGGGAAGTGCCTTTTGACCTGTCTGTACGGTCGAGTAGAAGTGATGGGATTCACCATTGAGGAAGGCCAGCAGTCGTATCCGCTCTTCTCCCCCGCCTCACACTGTCCCCTGTCCATTAGAGCTCTGGAAAGCTCGGACCAAGGCCGAGATGACAAAGCTGAGGCGTCACCCGTTCTCCGAAAGTATCTTCAACCCGGTAAACGCATAAGCAGGCTATTGTGATGTGATTATCATACCATCATTTCTGCATATTTGAGTGACACAATACTTTGCCGTGTGTTAGTAAGCTGGTGCTTTGAACTATTTTTCTCTTTCCTTAAACCCGCCTGAACGTGTGTCTCGTAGCATCACGGAAGAAGTTGCTGAAAAGGATTACGTTAAACTCCTCCATCGTCCTACTGGAGCCCATGGAGACGCCACTGACCCGCTTTCTGTCCAGCTTCACAGATCTCAGCGAATTGTTCAACCCCCCGGTGGTGAGTTGACGATTATTTTTACGTTTGGCTACCGTCAATATTCACCTAATCTCAAAGAAAATGAAACGACATCAAATTTGGAATATAGCTGGCTGGGATCAGGAAAAGATGAGAACGAATGCACAATTCATGTGTCGGTCATTTTGAACTGTCGGTCTTGCACATGTCTAACAGAAGCTTTCCCACTTGTAGATGGAACTTATGTCAGCTGTTCTTGACACCCCACTCAATGGTCTGGGTATGGTTCCTCTGGGCTCAGCCATTGAGGGCCTGCGAATGTCAAAGAGCTACAAAGATGCTCTCAACTTGGTTGTCAGCGCATGCAGAGGTAAACACCTTTTTGGGCGTGCAAGTCGTTGTATAATATTATGTAAACATTCATATAACGCTTATGTATGTCTGAAGGACCAAAAAAACACCCTTTTAACAGATGGATAAAGAGAGTAATGCTATCCATTCCACAGTTGATAATGGCTGAAGAAAGAATACATTTTTTGACCCGGCACTGGCTAATTGTTGGACACATATCTGTCATTCCCAGGGGACATGGATGGTTGTGTTGTCATCTTTGTTTGTGGTACCAAGAATGTGGGAAAATCATCGTTCATCCGCAACCTCATCAATAACCTACTAAATCAGTAGGTTCCTATTCTTTCTTTATATTTATTATATTTAGCGTGATATAGTGTCCCACATACTACATATATTTGGATGTAATCTTATAAAATACAATCTGCTGCATTCATTGAAATATAATCGCTACAGAGGTGATAACTGCTTATTTGTAGACATTAAATCATTTTTCGGTGTTCTAGTACTCAAGATAGGGTCTCAGTCTTACAACTGTTCTCAAGAAAAGAAATGTGAAGATCACGTCTGTTCTGGGATTGTATGGTGTAATGGTTTTCATATGAATCTAATGGTGTTTCTGTGTCCGTGTCCGTAGCACTGCTAGTGTCGATTATTTGGAAGGTGACCTCGGTCAGACAGAGTTCACTCCCGCTGGTTGCTTGTCTCTCTCGACTGTCAGAGCACCTCTTCTGGGTATGTTTTCATCGCCTTGATATTGGGAATTCTTTGACACGTTCGAAATCGTTTAAACAGAATTGAACTGTTTGGGCACACGTTTACTTCCTGTTCGTTTTGGTCTTTCACAAAAACATTACAACATCAAAACTGGGACACATTTGGAATGTTACGTTTACAATTGTTTAAAGGTCCTGAATAAACACGCATGGTTCAAAGCATCCTTCTAGTATATATTCATATTCAAGTCAAAATGTTTAAAATGAAACATTTTGGGTAACAAACATACTCCTTTTCTTGATGATAAATAGCCTCTCCAACCAACCAGAAGAAATTCCCCATCACAGCATATGTGAAACTTACTAAATACTGTGTGTATAGTTATAGTGGGGTTTCTTGGCTGTAGCTCCAGATTTATAAGATATTTGAGTGGTATGAATCCTCACCATAAAAAGGCTGATAAGCGTGTTTCCCAATATGTCCCAATGGTTGTTTTAATTATCTGAACTGTTTTCTTCATGTGGAATCAGTGGACTGAAGTTGAGTTATTTCCCAGGTCCTCCTTTCACACATCAGTGCACACCGGAGCACATGATCTACTATGGTCATTCGTCATACGAGACGGACTTAGAGCGCTACATGGAATCTCTTAAATCCCTGTGGCGCAGACGGCCCCGGACCAGGGAGACTCCCGTCATCATCAACACCGCGGGTTGGGTCAAAGGTCAGCTCGGGCTACCCTCTACCACGGAATTGACGCAATACGAGGGACCACGCTCGCTGTAATCCGTATCTGAATGTGCACTCCTTTGGGCCTCTCCACAGGATTCGGATTTCAGCTGCTGGTGGACATGATCCGCTTCTTCCCAGTGTCTCACGTCATCCAGCTGGGCCACAGCGGCGTCACCCAGTGCCCCGCGCTCACGCCAGAGTTCCTGCGGACGGCACACGGCTGCCAGACGCACCCACCGGCTGAGACTGCTCTTGCCGAGTTCACAGAGAGCCACGGTCCGCCCAGGAGTTACACTCATCTCATTGTGCAGTCCGAGTTTCCAGGAGTCGGGCACCAAGGAACGGCGTGAGTCCGGCGCCACGTTCCCCCGTTGGCATTGACTTGTAAAAACCCTCCCTTTGACGTCATTTTCTGTTGGTGCCTTGTGTTTGACAGAAGACACCAGCGGTCTAATGAGCACAGAGAGCTGTCCTTGCTGGCCTACCTGAGTCAGCTGCAGTCTCCTGACCCGGGACCGATTAGACCTCTACACAGCCTCACCCCATACCAGGTACGTAGCTTTTTTTCTTCTTTCACCTTGTGCCATCACTTCAGGAATAAAACGTACATGGATTTGTGTTGCAGTAGAAAGAAAAAAAAAGGTTCTTCCCAAAGCAAAATGAAGACTT